AGGTGGAGGGGGTTGGGTGTAGTCCGATACACGCTCGCTCATCCGAAAAGGAGGAGAAACAGCCGAGAAATCACCAACTCAATCATGGGGGGTAAGATGTCCATTGCAAAGATGAGCAGCCACGTGAGCCCTCACCAGCCCTGGATGGCCCGAGGGTCTTGAGCAGCAGCTACGACCGATTCGGCGACTGGCGCTCGGAGAGGAGCAGACCACGAACCGCTCTTTCGCCGATCCGGCCTGCCCCTGCCCTGGGACCCCTCCCCTTATTGGCGTGCAGCGGGACCTGTGCGACATTCAAAAGGATCTGTCCACGCTTACGAGAGACTTCCAGCAGCTGCAGGCAGTGCCATTCCCGCGGTGACGAGAACCCGCTGATGCCATCGAACGGGAGCAGCTCACCTGGGGAGTCTGTGGGGGCTGGGAAACATGATGAAGAAGAAGATGAGGATAGGGGAAGGGAAGGAGTGTGTGGTCGGCCTCCCAGTGGCACATACAGGTAGGCCGAAAGATCACGTGCACACTCGGCAGGATGGTGTGTGACGTTCGTCTGTCTCCGTGTGCAGGGTTTCCCCAGCTCATACGGCCGCAACAGGCCTCGAGCCTCTGATGGCCATGAAGAGGAAGCTGGAAGAAAGCCTGGACAGCTTAAGGGTGGACATGAACGCCTTTGAACACCTTTTGGGAAGGCTCGATCCACTCGAGCGGCAAACCATCCAAAACACCCTCTTCTCCCCTCCTCTGTCGCCGCCCTTCTGCTGCCCGCCGGCCGTCAAGACGGTCAGGAGGCCCCAGAGGCAGCTACAGCAGCCGACAAATGCCAGCACACAGGGTCTGTCTGAGTCCGCGTTGGTTCCACTGCCGGCGAGTGTGAAGCCGACTGCGAAGAAGAAGCGAAGGAGGACACAGGGGCAGGGAGGGAAGAAGAAAAAGGCAGCAGTGAGATCGAGAGAGACGGGAGATGAGAGAGGCGAGATCGTGACGTTGCGGCACAGTGAGAGGGTGGCTATCGACTTCCTGTGAGAGGAGACAGGGCTGGGCTGTGAGAGGGAATGTGAAACAGACTGCCGTGTTGCTCTCTTATGTCATTGAATGCGAATCTCAATGTCACAGTGTTCGCACGACATATCCCCACACAGATGCAGCGCACGCAGAGAGAGGCGCACACACTACCCAGTCTTACGCACGTACCTGAGCAGCGACGCGGCCACCCACACAAACAGCGCGATGTTGGCAAGGAGGGCCACGTACCCCTGGTACGAGTAGTGCAGCACGTGCGGCGCCGCAGCCTTGTCCCCAGCCGTCATGAGCTTTCAGTCACCATCTTTGAACCAACGGGACATGCTGCGCCCGGAGAAGTGCAGCATCATGCCCCCGAGCAGAGGCCCAATAGTGCCACCAAGGAAGGAACCGATGCTCCAAGTACCTGACCAAAAACACACACCACTGCCACTGCACGCGTGTGCCGCTGTCTCGTGCCTCGGCTTGCCCACCGAGGTACTGGGCGGCGGCTTCTCGGCAAGGCAGGCAGTCGAGAGCGATGGCGTAGTCGACTCCCACGTAGAGCCCATTGCCGATGCCGTACAGCAATGACACAAAGTACAGAAATGCTATCCTCCGGTAGGGGGTGCTCCACATGGGCGTCTGCAGAAAGGAGAAGTAGGACGCCACCTGAGTGCCACAGAGACGGAGACGGAGACAGAAGACATTGGCAATGTCTCATCATATATGGCTCAGTTTGTGGTTGATTTAAATAAGTCTGAGACCAGCAATGCTCCCGCGATGTAGATCAGCAGCTTGCGGCCGACCCACTGCAGCTGAGACAGCTGGCCGGCGGGAAACGCGATCAAAGCAGCGGAAAACTGGGCTGCGCCAGGGAAATGGAGACACGATCGGCCAAGAAACAGGGTCATTGGCCGCCCTACTTACCTAGCAGGGCCATGATGCCGAACTGCAGCTCCTGGTTGTTCTGGGATTCCCTCACGACTACGTCTCTCACAAAGTAGAACAGGAAGACATGGGCCGAGACGGCGAAGTAGTATATCGTTCGCGAGAGCCAAACCCAGAAGAAGTCTGGGTCGAGCAGCGGCTGATAGAAGGCCCTGCATGGGCAACGAGGTGGGAATATACACTACACACATGCGTGCGGCTTCCAGCTGTGTGTGTGTTTGTACGTGAGCAGCTCTTGTATGGAGACACTCCTGAGCTGGTTCTCGTCGTAGCATCTCTCGGACGCAGACCTGACAGAGAGAAAGACCATGACACGCTGCTGCTGCTCGTTGTATTGCAAGCTCGTCCGGCCGTCTTACATGACTGTGATGACCACACAAATGACGAGCTCGGCCATCACGAACACATACATCAGCCGATAGTCCGCATGCTGCCACGCAGACAGAGAGAGAGTATGCCATCAGACACACACGAGAGGTTCTTGGACCATGTCCCCGCTCACCGGGAAGAGTGCCAGGACAGCGATTGTGGAGAATCCCACGATGGAGCCCGCGAAGTGCTGGAGGGCCACCACACCACTGGCCTGGCCCGCCTGACTTGCACTCACAAAGTCAGGGACCAGACCATTCTCAGCAGCTACGACGATAAGATACGATACCACACAAGCCAGGTACCCATATAGGAAGTGATTGGCGCATGAGTGTGTGTGCGTGCCTTGTGCCGTGTTGAGTCCGATCATGCCGACGAGCACAGCCGGGAGGTACAGCTGAGCTGACCGCAGGTAGGAGGCCGTGCCCATCAGGATAAGCCCGACGAGACACACCATCGACCCCACAAGGATGAAGGGCTGACCTGATTGGATGTGACACCAGACACGTAGACATAGGGAAAGGCCATCCACGACACAAACACATACACATACAAACACACATACGTCTTCCCAATCTGGTGAATGTAGTGTCGCTGAGTCTGCCGGCGATTGGCACGGCAAGGTGGGCCAGGCCCGCCACACCGCACAGGCAGCCGAGGCCCACACTTGCATGATCGGGGAACAAAATCGCTGCCTCCTTCCTGCAGTGCAAACACGACAGCTCATGTTGTCACTGCTTTCGGCCAGCATCGCTTACGCGAAGAGGAATAGGGGGAAGACAGAAGTGCAGGTGCCGAACGCCATGCAGAACATGGTGATGCCCACAAGCCGCAGCAGCGGCACTCTCTCATGCAGCACCCTCTCTGCCGCACTCATTGCCGGGGCCTCTGCTTCCTGCCACTGACAAGAATGGGTCCTCTGAGCTGCGAGTGTCCTCGAATTTCCTCGTGATGATGCAAGCCACACAGCTGGCCAGAGAGAGAAACGTTTTGGAGTTCGAGGCATCATGGGATCCACCTCAGTGCTCGCCGTGCTTCGCTGGCTGCTGCTCAGGCCGCGGGAATCCATCAGAGGCTTCTTACCAGAATCCCGAACCCACCAAGGCTCTCGCGGTGGCGGGGAAGGACGGCCCCGAGATAGGTGAGGAGAACGGGTTCGTTTGGGCTGTTTCACGAAAGACTGGGGGCTTCGTGATGGCGCGCGCTATCGGGGGCCGATCTCCCTCTGCCCCCAAGTTGCTTCGCTCACCGCGAAGAGAAATGGCCAGCGCGGCGCGAAAACCCACTGAGTTGGAGCCCTCCCTGAGGGATTTTCTCTTACTGCGGGTGGGAAAGGAGGAGAGGGCGAAAGGGACTGGAGCAAGGCCTGTTTCTTGCTCTGTTTTCGGGTGCAGGAGAACCTCCATGATCTGATATCGCTTCCAACGAGCTACGGTGATGTGCTGAGGAGGGTGCTTGACGAGATAGAGGAGGCTCTCCCGCACGTGCACAAGGTTTTCAAGGCCTCTGACATCAAGGCCAACGTGTTCTTCAGCAAACTGCTCATCTTCACGATACAGAGACCATCCGAAGCCTTCTTGGAGATAGACAAACTGGCTGGTCTCGACGAGCGGCTTTCCCGTAAGCTGAGAAACCTCCGAGCAAACAGACTCGTTCACCTTTTTCCGTTCCTCAGTGAAGGATTTCGAGCAGCTATGCAACATACTCTGTGAAGCCCTGGGGTCCCTGCGCGCAGTGCCGGCAACAGTGCCCGCAACTCCACAGACCATGTCACCCATGTCTCCGGCGTCGGTTGACACCGTCGAAATGGATGCTGTCGGGCGCATCTTGCTCCGCTTCGAGTCGAAAATGATCAACAGTCGCCGACACATCGGCGGCTGGGGCCAGCAGCCCTACTTCTCGAGAGAAGAGCTGAGCTGCCTTAGTGGCGTTCTTTTGCAGTGAGCAATACGAGAAGTGGCTAAGGGGGAAACACAAACGGCCTGTATCCTGTCGTTTGTTTGTGTGTCTGTCTGTCAGGTACGTGTTGAAGTTTGCTGTTGTGAGTACGGACTCTGATGAGGAGCTCCGCCGGAAGAAGTCCCTTCTTACAAAGCAGCTAAGCCCTCCGCCAACCGATTCCACCCCCAGCATGTCTTCTGCTCCATCGCTGGAGGAGACCGATGGCCGGGCTGCCTTTTGATGAGCAGCTGCACGGAGGCGATAAGGGGCGGGGG